AACATTTAATAGGTAATAGCGATACTAGTTTGTGCCGCGACGTGTTGCAGGGAACAATCTGTCCAATTCATTACAATTTTATTCAGGTAGGTAACATGGAGAAGTCCTATAGTTGTATCTAATACTACATAATTTTACGTTTGTGAAAAACATCTAGTGTAAAATACCCATATCACTTGCATCATGGCATTCAATGGGAAGAATTAATTGTATTTGGTGTTTCCTTTTTAAAACGGCGCTCTCTAACGGGCGCTCTAATAAAAAAAAAGAAAATCAGTCATTATTTTCAGTGAAATACTTTCAGTTATTTAATGTTGCATTTTGAAAAGGCTATTCAACGATACTCCAATATTTTGTAAATTATTTTGTTCCCTTTTCGTTGTGTGCGTGGAGTTCTCATAGAAAATTTAAAGATCTCTTTTAACTTTTTAAATCATCATAGTCATCAATATTCGTTGTCACGCCAAATCTCAAAACAATAATGCGTAAATGAGCGAGTACAAATAACACGACGAAACTATAAGGCGAAATTAAGATAATAAAATAATACCTAATACATTCTTAAATATTTAACTAGTATTTTTTATTACCCAGTACATAAATACACTGCCTTCACTCCAGCCCTAGTGCCAAAAACAACCGTAAAGTTTCAAATAGGTAATAACAGTGATCGCGTTGTAGTAGGTTATCTTAAACGCAGTTTACGTTAATGGCCACTTTTTCAGATTTATTGCTTTCGAGCGATAGCAACTGAGTGGAAACGAAGCCAATTGCTTTAATTTTAATAAATGTTGTAGTAGTGTTGTGTAGTAGTAGTAGTAAGTGAACGTTATAATAATGAAACCGTTTATTACCCTTATCCGTTATGTGTTGAAATAAACATTAATATAGGAAATGAAACTATTTTTCCGGATTTAAATCGCGTATATTTGTTTTTTCAAACAAACCGACGTTTCGGGCCCTTTACAGGTCCCATGGTCAGAGTTGACTAAGGTGATAAAGTCCACCTCAGTCACCTCAACCACCTCAGTCAACCGTGACGATGGGACCTGTAAAGGCCCCGAAACGTTGGTTTGTTTGAAAAAATGAAATATATGCGATTTAAATCGGGAAAAATAGTTTCATTTCCTATATGTACCAATCGCAAAAACCTAAGAACTCAATTGATTTTTTTCTTTTTCTTGTTTTAGTATCATAAGGTCTGAAATGCTTGTTTTAATGTAAACTTTTGTTTGCATTTTTTCTTTTTAGATTTAATGTTGTTTTCGTTTTTATAAGTCTATTTTTACGTCGTTTTTTGTGAGCTGTTTTCACATAGATCTGTACAATTAGATACGATTTAATAAATTATGATATGTACTAAGTACTAAAAAAACATCATATAGTTTAGTATCAAGAAATAGTGGTGGAAGTCAATAAGCTCTATATTTTTTACAATGATGCACAGCGCCGCTGACATTCCGCTACAGCCTGTCACGTTCAAAGAAAAGTATGATTAGAATCGTCACAATGTTATAGAATTTAAAGTTACTAATTTCTTACTAAATAAAAGGATAACATTCAGGGTCGCAACTTCTCCTAGTGGCGATGCTTGGAAGAGGCCTATGGCAATCTGTGGACGTTAATAAGTTAAGAGATTAATGTTAAAAATCCATTTGACGCCTACATGAAGTCCGTCCCTGAAATTATAAAGGCTATTAGCAAGGTGTCGAATTTTTGGAGTAGTTTAAGCCTAACACTGAATTTAATTTCGCGTGCGAATATTTTCAAGGCTTTGACTTCTGGATCGTAATTACAATGTACACTCACGGTAGGTCTACGCAGTCACAGTACGAACACTTTTACTTTTTATAGTGTTATACCACTAATCAAATTGATAAAACACCAAAGCACAATGAATTGTTGTAACTATTATTAACAATGTAACGCTGCCCTGTCTGCGAAGATTTCTATCAATTACATACATATAAATTTTTCCAAATGTAAATTTAAAACAATGATTCGTATATTTTAACGAAGGTGATGTAACATTTAATCAATGTTGGCTGAAGAGAAATCTTATTTTTTATCATAATATTATGTCTTACTTTGTTATGTTATTATGGCACAGCGTGACTCCAAACTTTTGTGGAACTCAAATGAGATGCGAATACGAAAATTGATCTATAGATTTATACACGACTGAGTTTCTGTTGTTGCATCAATAAAGTATTGTGTATTTTTTCATAATTAACTAATTAATTTTTTTAATTTATTGAATGTCATGATGTTTGACCACCTTGATTTTAAATTACATTTATGTCAAATGACTCCACCAGTTTGTTATAATTATTAATACAAAGATCGAACTCTTGGAAAAAAAATTCCTTCGATCCGGCCAGATCCGAACCGACGTCTTCCAGCAAACTGTGCCATACGCTATGCCAACTAAGTCACGGAACAAACTAGCGGGTCTTACGAATTTGCAGATATTTTTTTTTGTTTTCAACGCGGAAATTTTATTTGGAAGATGTTTGTTCGAATACAGTCGGATCGAAAAAATGTTTTCTTAGTATTCTATCTTTATTAATAATTATAAATAACTAATTAAAATTAATATGTATAACATTAATAAACTAATTAATATCTATATTACTTTTTGTCTTTTCTTTTACAATATATGGAAACTTGTAATGTTTAAGTTGGAAGCGTGCGGAATAAAACAAAATATAAGAAACGATTATGAAACACGAACAGAGTCAAAACATGTGCCGAATATAATCCGCATTAACCTCGCGTGATAAGACTAAATCATAATATCGTTTACGTCTATCTCAACGAACACGTTCTAGGCTTCAAAGGCAGCGACAAGCGGAGCGACAGTGTTCTCTTGGTAACGAGGCTCTGCCTCTATCAAACTAACACGGTCATCGATCAAATCTTTGAAAATACTCTTTAAGCACCCTAAATAAATTTAGAATGCTCCTAGTAGAAGTCCTTTAAAAAACTGTTTAATTGAGGATGATTAGATACACTAATCTACGTCATCCACTCGCAAAATCGACTTTTCCAAACAAAATGTCTGCATGTTTGAATATAATATATTGTTTATTCATGTAAGCATTGTTGTACAAACAAATTTCGTTATATAAACATTAACATGGACTTTCGCTAAGTAACGCCTGAATCTATTAATTATATAAATATTCACCTTACGGTACTGGCTCCTAATTAATCCACTCCAAACAAAATTGGTTATTGTTCCAAAAATTACCTTAATATGATTCACGTCGGCTTAACCTCAAAATATAGGCTCAATTTCATTAACTCGGATATCTGAACATAGTACCCATTCAACATGAATATCAAAACAACCTGCATCAGCTGCACGAGTCGGTAACTTATCACAAACACGAATTTCTTTTTTCCGAATCTCATTAATCCGAATACGATTCGACTTTTTTCATTACTACGATGACCGTTTTGGTAGAAATTTGTAACACAAAACAAGTTGCATGATTTGAAATTTGTTTGAACTATTCATGTTTATCATACTTTCTGTTTTTCATATAATTTACTTAAGTTTTGAAATTATTTTTGTTAGATAATAAAAATTATACATACAGACGGCAAAAGAACCCAAAAGTCCCTGACAGGGTCAAACCTGGGTGCAACTAGATTAAATTAGTATATGAAAAGACAGAACAGAATTAGTTTGCATTTCCAAACATGTTTTAAATAATTATATTATCGGAGTTTTGGAATAATAACTTTAGCTTAATTTCTAATTAACAAGCTTCGTTTATAGTTTATTTTTATCAATCAGTTCAGATAAAATGTGAGGTAAAACGAAACATAAAACAAAAAGTGTATCATGGATATAGTTTTTTCTACAAAATGAAAATATTCAATTCGTTATATTTGTCAATGTGTCATAATAGTGAAACATTAAATAGTGAAATGAAAGAAATTGTAACGTGTTTTTGGACAAATGAAACAAAATCAAAAATACTTCGAAGAAACAAAATTCTGTAAATCATATTTGTAACTTATAATAGGTAGGTAACCGTGTGAGTCGACTTATGATGTATGAGAAGTAAAAAAATAATAAATTTCTACAAGTAGCAGAAACAAAAGTGATTTGTTAGAATTGTAGGAATACCGTGTTAGGATTCATTAAAATTAACCGTCGCCGTTTTCCTGGCCCCGTCGGAAGGTACCACATACTGTTAAGAAATGATATGGTATTACAAATGTAATGCAACGCTTAGTGTGTGAGATCGCGGCGTTTCCTCGTTCCGCGATCGTATCACTTCGTCCGATAGGAAACGTGCCGATTATAGCTTTAATGGGTTTAGGAGGTTGCAAAAGGATGTTTTTCATATTTTTTGGTTGTGCAAGACTAGGCAGTGTTCTTTAAGGAATTCCGATTATGGAATTTGAGTAGAAGAGTTGAGACAATAATAGTCTTTTTATAGTTAATATTTTATAAACGGGCTGTGTTCATATTTAATAAGAGCGGTGGTTGCTGAGTGGGAGAACGGTTGCGTCTCATTTGAGTCATCGTCGGTTCGAATACCTGTGGCGGCATGTACCTATGATTTCAATATCTAAATCACGAGCACTTGTGATCTTTAGTAGTAATATCCCTAGCAAAGAAAGAGGAATACTGCCAGGGAAATACTGCCACTTTACCTATTCCTGCTGCCAAGCAGTAATGTGAGCATCACTGCGTTCCGGTTCTGAAGGGTAAAGGTGCTGGTGAAATTACAGGCACATGGGACTTGTCAACTTATGCCTCAGGGTGACGGGCGCAGTGGCAATGCCCTTCAGATAGCGTGTGACGCAGTATGGTGTCTGGTAATCGGCCTCGAAATCTCCGATATAACGACACCCTTCTGCCAAATCTCTTCTTCAATGAAGGTCGACAGATGATCGGGCGGCACTCTCACCACGTTTGTGTTTTATGTCTAATTATAATGTAATTAGTTTACGTTAAAAACAGTAAAACAAAAACTCACCGAGTATCAGTCAAATCCAAAGTAGGGTCACTTCTCTTGATCTGTCCCACACAAGCCAAAACCGCTTTATCGCTCTCAACCCTGGCGGCGAGCGAAGCGACCAGCGTCGGCAGTTGCCTCAAGGCGGGCTTGTCCACAATGGTGAGGAGGGACTTGTTATCGATGAGGCGGCGCTCCACGTCGGCATGGGACAGGGCGAGGAGACGCTGGTGGGATGATGAGGCTGGGTCCTGGTTTATGGTTACTGGTGACTGAAAGAGAAATATCTAGATTAGATACTTTTGGCTAACTGAGAATCAGACTTCAATGCGTACGACAAAGAAATGAAATACAACTAGATTTTAAAATCGGAACCTAATCGTGTATAACATATTATTTTTACCCCGGCGATTCGGACGTGTGGCAAATTGCAAAGTTCATGGTTTCGAAGGGACAGGTTTCTAGCCGTGCGAGATTTTCTAACTACCGCACTTGGTCTTCATCTTATTTATTTGTACACTAGGGTTGTCACTAGACCGATACACAACACTTACGATATCCAACGATTTGTCGGGTGACACTTGATGTCGCTTACACACAATTAAGTGTCGATTTTAAAATCAAATAATGTGTGCATTTTTCGAAAACTACGTTTCAAGGCTATAATTATCGAGATTTTTTTTCGATACACGCGTGCTGCTGTCGCGTCGTCACATTGTCGCTTAACATCAAGTAAGATTAATGCCAAGCGTGTGTCTATGACTCACAAAGAAAATAATGCGAGAATACTTAAAATTATAAACCACATAGTCACACACTCAAGTAGGTAAAAATACTTTCCACCTCTTAATAATGTACCGACGCTAGATAGGAATCTGTTTAAGATTGTAAGCTTCTCGACCACCGTACCACGAAACATAAATTTTCCTTACAGTGCTTTTATGGCAGTCATTAGACGCTATTACAGTTACAAAATCATAATTGTCACGAGTGGCCAAGGCCTGACTGTTGAACCCTGATGAAAGAAAATTATCGAATTTCACGCTTCTCGTGACTTAACTATTATCGTGAGATAACATGGTTTGTGTGAGAAAACTTGGTTATTACATTACACTTACCATTTTTTTTCTCTGTCTTTAGTATGCTATCTAAACAAGGCTCAAAATACACATACCGTTACCCAATGCACTCGGGTGTCCGGATGTTCGAATAACAGCAGGCAATTGTGAGGTAGCTAGCGTGTGATATACATTTTACGTGTATATGCCAGCACCAGACTTAAGTAAGCATTAAAGCTATTGTCTTCGAGTTCTCAAAGCATATTTTTGAATGTTTCACGGTAACAGTTACTTTTCGTAATGCCTTAGTATTTAAATTGTACAATTACCAATTCCTCGAGTTTGTGCAACGCTTGTTTGTAGACATCGACATGTCGCTGCAGTTCGTTCTTCATTGCCACGTGTAAGGAGATGAGCGTCCCCGTCGAGTCCGCCGTCAGCCCGTGTGTGCCCAGACCTATCCAAAACAAAAGTTTATAATTATACACACGTGTTACAACAGGTTACATCGATAAAACTGCAATTTCAATATAACAGAATAAGCTAATAGACAACAGACCGTTTCATTGCTAAATAGCAATCTCTTCCAAACAATCTTAACATACAAATTCAAATTGCAAATGAAGTACAAATCGACACCGGAAAGATAAAACGTGTAACGTACATTTGGAAAATATTACAGAAGAGCAATTTAAAACGTCGAACGTGCATTTGGAAAATATCACTTACAGAAGACCAATTTTTTTAGAAAAAATCATGAATCTATATTTGTTATATATAGAAAAGCAGAAACTGAAATAAATAATATCAGTACAGAGTACTAAAGAACCGACCCCAAAAGTCATTCATCCTCCTCCTCAGTTTGCCAACCTCAGAGGTGGAATATATTCAATTCAAATTTATATGGTACCACTTCTGACGTAGGTACGCTCTTTCCAACAAAAAAAGAATGAAAAATCGGTTCACATATGAGTTATCGCGAAACTGACATACATGTACGTACATACAAAAAAACATACAGTCGAATTGAGAACCTCCTCCTTTTTTTGAAGTCGGTTAAAAATTATTTACCTTTCCAGCGTCGAAATAAAAATACCTTTTAATAGAAATGTTTAAAATAATTACACTACGAATTGCATACTAAGAATGTTTATATAGAAATAATGAACAAGTAATATCATAATATTAACTTCTACGTATATCATAGGGCGCACTATAAGTTTCCGGAACTGGCCACTTACATCAACAATATTTAAAAAGTAATTACAACATTTGAAAATGGAACTCTTTGACTGTAGAATACAGTTTATTCCGTCTGATTGTCACTTGTTTTTACATTGTGGCGTCATTTTAGACATTGGTTGTCTACATCAACATGGATCTAACTCGTAACAATTTTCGTAGTATGGTTTTCTACGACTTTAAGTGTAATTTAACAGCTCAGCGGTGCTTCGCTCGGCATCAAACTGCTTTTGGTGATGAAGCACCATGCAAGACGACTATTTATAGCTGGTTTGCCGAATTCAAACGCGGTCGTGTGAATCTCAGTGACGAACTTCGTGATGGTCGCCCGTCCACTGCTGTGAACAAGAAAAACATCGATGCTGTGCGCCGTATGATCAAAACAGACAGGCATGCGACATGCCATGAGAATCTGGCATCTTTAGGCGTAGGCATGAATCAAATACAATCAATACTACACAAACATTTGGGTGTAAAAAAGTTGTGCTCTCGGTGAACCCACACCATTTGACTGAAGCTCAAAAAACGGATCGCGTCACTTGGTGCAATGCCATGCTTACCAGATTCAACGAAGGGGCGTCAAATTTGGTATGCGACATAGGAACAGGTGACGAAATATGGATTTATGGTTACGATCTCAAAATAAAGCAACAATCGAGCTTATGGGTCTTTTGAGATGAGCCTAAACCAACCAAAATGGCGCGCGTGCAAAGTGCCTCTAAGAGGATGATTGCTTCTTTTTTTGTGATAAAACTGGACATGTGGCTACTGTTGCTTTAGAGAATCGTTGTACCATGAATAGTTATTGGTACACGACCATTTGTTTGCTGGAAGTTATTGACAAACTCCGTAAAAATAACTGTAAACGCCGTATCATCTTGCACCACGATAATGCCAGTTATCACACGGCCAGACAGACAAATGATTTTTTGAAGGTGAACAACGTTGACCTTATGAGCCATCCCGCGTACAGTCCCGTCCTGGCACCTTGTGACTTTTATTTATTTCCAAAAATTACGTATTTACGCGGTCAACGATTTTCATCACCTGAAGAGGCTGTCGAAAAGTATGAAATAAATTGCTTCAGAGATTGTCACGGAGGAGTGGCATAAATGTTTTCAAAATTGGTTAATTCGTTAAAAAAAGTGCATTAATGCTAACGGAGAATATTTTGAGAACCAATAAATTCATTTCTAATCTGCTGGTGAAATTACAGGCACATGAGACTTGTCAACTTATATCTCTGAGTGGCACTGCAACTATTATGGACAGGCGTGTAGCCTACCATCACGCGCACGACTTGTTCGTTCTGTCACTTGATATCATCAAAAAAAATACTTTTGTGAAAATAATAACTGTCTGTAATAAGAAACTAAATAAAGAAATGGGGGAGAAACCACCTAAGAGAGTTTAGTAAGTGTTCTTTGACGCGATATTTGAAGGAATCAAGAGCAAGAGCCGGATAGGGGATATACCGAAAGTATTGGATTTAAAAGTCGAGGGTACGAGATCTTTAGTATCTTACCTATGCGTGTATCAGAGGGGCGACCTAGGTACAATCACAACTACGTTTAGTGAGTAAGTAAAACTATAATTCTTTGTGATTAGCAAGTAAATGCTAGTTCTTGCAATGTCGTCAATCACGGAAATATTAATCGTTCAGACGCAATCTCGTGGTGAACATATTCCACCGCAAATGCAGTTTCTATTCAACTACGAACTTTCAAAGCCTGTTTATTTCTCAATAAGCATGTAACAATAGATGGATTTTCAATTGCCAATGCCCAAACCATGGAATCTGCAACAATTCGAGGTTTTTGTTGCTGCAGCTTCTGCCAAACTCTTGTCGAAAATTGTTTCACAATCCTTCATACGGAATTTGAACTTAATGAATACAGTCTTATGATTCTTAGAAATTATAACATATTTACACGTACTTGACTCAAGTATTTGCAAACAAGAACGCGATTATTTCAAACATTTTTCCACGTGCAATTAAATATAACGTCATCAAAGGAAGCCACATTACCATCACAACAGCGATCATCTTCAAACGCCTCTGAAGCAAGACCGCAGGAAATTAACCATTATTCACTACGCATTACTATTATTATAATTTGTTTTATCTTACATTTTTAGATCACTCGTCATAACCTTCGCTTGAATCCTTGAGCGCATCCTATTTTGAATCAAAACTTGAATTTTTATGACATTAATGTTTTGTTTTATGGAACACTATTCTGTGCTTTAAATGAGATTCCGCTTGACCAACTAATTATTATTCTGTTGATCTCAGACAAAGTAAAGGTTTTAGCGATTATTCATAAGGTACTGTAGTCTAGGCTATATATATAATATAGCTAGTGAATATAGTTTTTGTAATTAGAATGCTTTTGAAGAATTGAAATAAGAAAACGGAAGATCTTGACATATTACAGTACCTATACCTGTACCGAGAAAGACATACCTAATTTAGGAATAACTATCATATTATTGATCCAGTATACTGAAATCCGCCCTTTATAGTACAAGCTCGATAGCCTGCTGAATAAGAAAGTAATTTGTTGATGGCTGTTTGAAAAAAAACAAATATATACCTACTTTATGGTTCAAAAAATTGTGTCATTTCCACTATAGGGCAATCGCGAAAATTGAAGAACTCGATATTTAACAAATGTTCCACAACATAATGCTGCAACTGCAAAAATGCAAGTCTGATTCTGTCAGAGAACTAAGTAAGACATAAGTTCGAAATCGTCAAAGAGAATTAATTCAAACCATTAAACAAAGCTTTAATAAGGCTCTGTCCGAAATTAAACCAAAGCGGATTATAATTGCAATTATTTATGAAAATAAACAATGAGAAAAGGCTGTGGGAAGTCTCGCAGTCGCTTCGCGTAACGTCATTAATTTCGACGCCACTTGGGCAACGCCAGGTGTACTTGAAAGGGGTTTAGGATCCAAGTTTTACGACAAGGGTGTCCATCAGTAATGTTGGTAAATTACCTTGTACAGCAGCATCGAGCTGCCTCCTTCTGTTATCAACAGTGTCTCGAGCTATCGGAGTGTAAACGGTCAAGGCCGTGGCCAGGCGCGAGGTGCGGGCCTTTAACGCTGTCCCATGCTCGCCCCCGAGAAGCCCGACTAGCCGCCATGCGATCGTTTCGCATTGTACATCAGGCCGGGGTGACACTTCCAAGGATATTAATCTGGAAATAAAGAGATATGTTTAGTGATATGAGCAACACAATATTTAAACAATGAACATAATTATTTCCTTGGTCAACGGCAGATGTCTTGGCCAACAACGCTAATCAAAATGTCGCTAGCATCTCTTTGAGAAATATGTTTTTTTTTATCTTTCTATATCTTCATTCTGGGGTTTCCTTAATACAGCAGCAGTATGAAGTTTTCAAAATGGGTTCTGTTACTTATCTCATCATCTGTTACTATGCCAAAATCATAGTAATCACTTAAGTTTTATATATATTTTCTCATCATTTGATCTAAATTCAGTTAGTTACAAGTGGGTTTATTAAAACTATGTATATAAAAATTGTTTTGTCTTTAATTAATTCGGTAACTATTATGCAATTGTGGCGCTGGTTCAAAAATCACCAACAATTTTATGCTTTATTATAACATGTTATACAACAAAAGCTATTAAAATTACATGCCTATGTACAATTGTTATATAGGTACACGAAACTGCGTTAATTAACTTTTATTCTCAAAATAGCAGGTTCCACAAGAGCGTTCTTTATTATTTTTTTATTGGAAACAGTTTCACTTATCTCCGTCGCTTGAATATAGACCATTTATATCTATCTATAATGCGCTGAACTGCTACTTAATGTAACCATGTGTAGGCATAGTGATAAACTCTTACTCAAGCTCGTCAGAAATGTTTTGGAATTTATCAAAGTAGTGCTTCCATATTTATTCATTTCCATATTTAGAACTAATCACTTGAAGTAATTCTGATTATCGTTACTGATTACCAAAACATGCTTTATGAACTCCACGTGTCATTACTAGAATTTTATTGACCTCGAGATGAACATGTGCAAGACTAATATCGTAATTGTTGGCAATTGCCCCTTGACATTGTCAAGTATTATCTATCTGGGTTACATCTATCTTTTGTTCATGGTTTCCAAAATAAAGAGGTGTCTAAACATGTCCAACAGGTTTGGATCACTTTTCAAGTGCAAAAACTTTACCGATCGAATAAATGATTATTTGACTTTGACTTTTTGCAAGTTTGAAAACATTCTCAAGTCCGAAATCCGAAATTGCCTAAAAACTAACCAATGTGTCCTGTTTACCCTCACGTACTGGTTATGGACCTAGATTTACGAAGGAGTGTATACATACCTACAAAGGTCGATACATAACGATGAGCAGGTCACATAGCAAAACGGGAAGACCGAAGATCATAATTCATAATTCATTTATTTGTGAAAACACAAGTTATTTGAAAGTTGACATGTAATAAGTAGAGTTTCACTGTGTCCGGCCAAACATTAGGCATACAAACTTATTGAAAGTGTTATTAATTATACATTTATTCGCATGCATTTTAACAGACTGCACCAGATATATATAACATGTTATTTTTTCTAATATCAGATGAACGTGCACACATGGATTTAATAAGTCGGTCAGCAATTTAGACGCAATGATAGTTATATGAGTCAATTTCAATTAAAATATTTTTAATGTAATTAAATGTCAATATAATAAAACTATTAACGTCAAAAAAGAAATATAAATATGAAAAATCTGACAATGAAGTTAGGGATTTGCATTTAATAATTCGGATACTGTATAATAAATTTTATTAGCCATAAGTAAATTAATAGTAATAAGTTGTTTAATTTTTTTTAAATAATATAAGGTTTTTTCTATATATAATACTTTCGGTAAATTATTGTAAACTTTTGGCGCCATTACAAAGATACTTTTGTGCATGAAAGTAGTTTTACAAGCTTTCAAATGAAGTTGGTCATAACGTCTTGGCTTTAGAGTTGGCGTGAACAAGTGTCGGTGCATTCGGACGTATATGGCAGATTCGTATATATAACGTGAAGGTACAATCATTATTCGAAGATCCTTACAATATGTTCTACAACTATCTGTTCTCTTCAAACGATACATTGCTCTGACACATCTTTTTGTGCCTTGAAAACTGGATTGGTTGCATTTCCCTAGAATATTATACCATATCTTAATATTGAAGCAATATACCCATGATATAAGCAAGCAAGAAGGACCGATCTTCTATCGACAGCTTTGCTAAGCATGTATAGTGTATATGCACAAGTATTGAGTTTACTGCAAACATTTTCCAATTGTGCTGTCGAGCTTATCTTATCATCAATGTGTATACCTAGGAATTTTGTTATATCTATTTGTCGTATGAGTGTCCCTTTATATTCTATATTTGTTTGACTAGGTGCTTTTCTCAACTTAAAATCTATGAGCTTGGTTTTTTAAAGATTGATTTTTAAATTATTTTCTTGAAGCCATTCTATTAATGAATTTAAGCTGTTATTTACTTCATTTTCTTAAATATATATATATATATATATATATATATGACCGTACTATCGTCCGCATAACGCGTCATTGAATGGTGGGATGCGTTAGGCATGTCATTAATATATATTGAGAAGAGTAATGGTCCCAAAATGCTGCCCTGTGGTACTCCATATATTGTTACTTTAGAATCAGACTTATATTCCATTTCTATTCTTGTCATAATGTTGATTTTATTAATTTTGGTCACTTGAGTTCTAGCTTTTAAATATGATTGTATCATGTTATGCATATTGCCCCTTATACCATATGAGTATAGTTTGTCAAGTAAAATGTCATGGTCCACATAGTCAAAAGCTTTTGTCATATCTAAATATATAGCAAGAGGTGGTAATCCACTATCCATCCTGTTATGTATTTTCTCTAATAAATCGTGTATAGCTAAATTAATTGAACTGTTTTTTCTAAAACCTCTTTGTTCTTTACAAAAAATTTCATTGTTCTCAAGATAATTATACAAATTATCATAAATAGTTTTCTCGAATACTTAAGAAAAACTGGCAATAGAGCTCCAGGTCTATTTTATTTTTCTCTATTCTAGTTTATTGCCTTTTTTGTACATAGGATTTGTAATAGTTATTTTTACTTTTTCTGCAAATGATCCCTCTTCAATGCACATATTATTTATATCACTGAGGATAGGAGAAATTATATCTGCTACATATTTTAGTACTTGTGTGCATATGCCATCGTATCCTGTACTGTTTGTATTTTTTTAATTGCGTATTATATTAAATACGTCTTGAGGGACTGTAGGTTTCATAAAAAATGACTTACAAGTAGAATATATACGTGTATTTTTACTTTTTACACTGCAATTTGGTTGAACTTCTTCTGTAAAGTAATTATGAAATTTTTGAGATATTATTTTACAATTCGTTACTATTTTATCATTAATTTTTAGAGCTGATATAGTGTTATGCGGTATTTTTGACTTACTGTTATTTATTATTTTCAACGTAGCCTTGCGTCTGTTTGTAGCTTTGGAAATATAATAATTATTTTGAGACTTTTTTGTTAGTTGGATTATCCTTTTTAGTTTTGTAATAAAGATTTTATAAGCAGTTTTGTTCTCATTGCTCTTTGTTTTTCTGTATTTCCACAACAGCTCCCTTTTCTTTTTACAGCACAATCTTATTTCACGTGACAGCCATCTTGGTTTTTCTTTAGCACAATTTCTGACTTTTATTACAGGAAAACATAATTCGTAAAAAAGTTTGAAAATGTCATAGAAAGCATTAAACGCGTCATTACAATTACAAGCTGTTCTTGAAACGTTAAAGCTTAGTTTGCTCAGATATTCTCTAAATTTTAACATATTTTCTAGTGAATAATCTCGTTTAAATGTGTACCAATACTTTAGTTTAACGAAATTTTCTACAGGGCATCTAGCAAATTGTGACGTGTGCTCGGACAATGCAAGCTCGATTATTTTCATCTCACACCCATTAATATTATGTAAAAATTGTCAATATGCGTACCACTACTTGGGCGGATAGGTTCATTTAATGCTAATTTCAAATGAAAACCCTTTATCGTGTTTTTAAATTCTATTGATAATTTGAAGTTCTCTAGGATGTTTATATTAAAATAGCCACATATAATGATCTTTTTCTTTGTTTGGTAGCATACTTCGGTCAGTATATCATGCAGATTGTTATAAAATATTTCAAAACATTTTGATTCACTTTTGGGCACCCTATATATATATATAGGGTGCCCAAAAATGTATAACTATAAAATTATGATCTGTTAGTTCAACTGCACTGCATTCAACAATGTTTGTAACACTAAATTTGGAAGCATAGTCGATTACTTTATAGTTAAAGCCGTGTTTAATCAGAATGCATGCACCTCCATTTCTATAGTTTCGAGTGAAGCTAAAACCAAGTCCGTAAGACGATGTATTATTGTGGCTCTGGTGGTTGGGATCAAAGTGAATAGGAATATACATATAATAGGTGAAATTCATATATTCATCGTTGGATGAGTGTGGTCTGAGACTTTTGAGTCTTTTGGAGATTTAAGAGCAGATGTAATTCTCAAATAACAAAAATGAATGCCACGAACTCCATACAAGATTATTGTCGCGTGGAAATACTTTCATCGTCAAAGTACGTTTGCGTTTCAGAATCTGATCGTGCTTATATCATATGTCTGTGGCCATTTTTAAACATATTTTGGTACGTAACTCCGCTGTTTTGGTAATTCGTGTACAAACAAAGATTGATGTACGAGTTTCAGTTTACGCAATGTAATTAAATAATATTTTTTTAGTATTGCTATTGTTAGAACAATTCAAATTTAGATAACTGTAACCTTTTGGAATCTAACTGGAAACGTAATACAAATGTGGATCATTTCAATTACTTTCGTGCCATTTGAAAGAATAAATAAAAATTTTTGAAAAACGGTTGACAACCGTGTCAGGTCCCATGACTTGTAAAGGGCCCGAAACATCGGTTTGTTTGAAAAACAATTTCATTTCCTATGTGTAACTATAGCGAAAACCTAAGAACTCGATAAAAATTATTCCTTTCGTGTTCTGTGGTTTTTATGCGTTTGAAAATTAGTTGAAGAAAATTTTTATTTTGTGTTTTGATTAATA